CAACATAAGCCAACGAATTGTAATCATCACTTCTTTAATGAAAGAAATTTAATTACTTACAAATATAAATAAAATTCGTTGACTTTCAGGAAAAAATATATATTAAGATTATACAATTTTCATTGATTAAGCAATCTTAAATATTATTGAATGTCATTTCAAAATCCTTGACTTTGATAATGATAAATTTAATCAAAAAAATTTTAATTGAGATATTGAACTTTTAGTATAAACTCTAATTAATAAATACGTTAATTTATTAAATGCTTTTTTTGTAGTAATGGGATTTCAATAACTTTTTACTTATGTTTCAATAAATGTAAAAAAATATCGCATCTATCTGTATCCTGGATAAAACCTAAACTTTAAGTATTTATTTCAAACTAAGACTATTTTAAATCTGTTTTAGATTACTATTAATTAAATTTAGACCATTTTAGTCTTCAACCATTTTAAAGTTAAATTATTTTATTATTATAATATATTTACGTGAAAAAACAGGTATCAAAAGATTAAGATACAAGTAGATAATGGCGGCTCGGCGGACAAAATTGGCATCGTTAAAATGTCGATAGTTAGCGTGGTGGGGTCCTAGTGCAACTATTGACCTATTTGCCGTAACCAATACACGAACGCCCATTGCCAGTCGAATTGGTTATGCATGCGTGTCTTTGTAACTTCTATTGCTGCATCGCAGAGTCCGACTGCAGCCTGGATTTAAATGTTTACAAATACTAGACATCAAGTATTAGATTTGTTTGGTTCTTTCCGTTTCCATGCACTTATTTACAGTTCTCAAGCCATTAATTACAGTCAGTTTTTCCTATCTACGTTTTCAAATAAAGACTTTATTATATACTAGTTGGCGTCAGCTACTCCATCCGCACGAAAATAAAAAAAACTTAATTAGCAGCCTATGTATACTTTCAGGCTATGTTTTACATCAGCACTAAAATTTAGTGAGATCCATGCAGCCGTTCTGGAGATATCTTCAAACACTCATCCATCCATCCATCCATCTAAACATTCGCATTTACAATATTAGTAAGATTGAAATAATTAATCGATACTCAAATTACCGTAGTACAACCAAAATCCATGTGATTAACATGGATTTTATCTATTTACATACTTTGTGAGATAACATTTTGTTGCTTTATATTTAACAGTGGTTTATTTTTATCTTCTAGGCAAAAGTCAATTATTACAGACAAAAGTCGCTCTCAGCAACGTTATCGGTCGTCTTATTCTGATATCAAGTGCATTGTTTTCAATATAAAGGCATAAGTGCATCGCCCTATCAAATAGTTGGATTAAGATTACGCATCATAAATTCCATTCAAATAAAGAATTTGAAAGTTATTTGCTGGAATGCATGCTGTCCGATTTAGACCACTTGCAAATAGGCTTAAATGATTTTGGCGAATGAAGCGTGTCATAGTCTGTCAATTTTATTGGGTTTAAAATGTTCTACTTATTGTTTTACTGCCTGGATATCTACTGCAATTGCTACATAGATCGTCCTTGTCTTCATTAAGCAGAATCCCGCAACCTTGACCAGATTATTTCTTGTGGGAGGTCAACCTACGCTGTGTTTACGTGCAATTGTATCAAATCAACTTCACGTGGTACCTGGGCGTAATCTTATGTATAGAAAGGGCATTAAGCTGGTGGTTTTGCTACATGAGGAAACTCTGTGCGGGTTACAAGATACATAATGTGGTAATCGCTTTTACTACGTTTCACACCTCTGGCGTCCGAAGAAATGTACAAAAGATCTTACAACGAACTCAAATGCCACGTGTAACTTTTTCTTTATGTATTTTTATCATAATGAACGTAATGAAATAAAGCAATTGTAAAATCTTAAAATATGTTGAATCTGTCATAAAAATGTGCATTCTTTGTTCAAGACATCGAAACAAAGAGATAATTTAGAGTCAAGATATATTAAATTTATAACTTTTTGCATGTAACATTTAAATGGAAACAAAGTTCAGAAAAAAACATTGCTCATCGCTGTATTGCGTTTGAATATTTCTTTTACTTTGCATATTTTATTTTCCGGGGTTTGTAAAAAAGATAATGGAAACTACATATAGTCCAGTCGGTGTTTTTTTTTTTAACTTAATGGTTTTATTTCTAACAGTAATATACAAGTGTTTTATTGTTATTACTAAAAATACATATGTTGTTTAAGTTCAAATACAAAATAATATTATATTATAATCACAATCAATGAGATTTGAACTACCTCAGTCTTAAAGACCCTTATAACCAGAAAAAAGTTATATACATACTCTCCAAGGTTAATTTTTTTCAAATATCTATACGTAAAAGATCTTGTTCTATAAATCAAAAATGATGGCAATGACATTGTCCCACAATATTGCAACATGAAGTAATGCGACATTAAACTAGTCGTTACATAATTAGTTGCAAGCAAAGGTTAGTGTTGTAATGCATTGAATTACAAGTAATTGATTGGGTTATACTGATCTAATGGTATAATAACTGCGTAGTATTTGTCGATTATCGTGTCAAAGTCATTCGACAACTTTCACTGGTGTGGCGGCCAAGTTTCGCCAGCGAATGGTGCGGTTGTGCAACAGTTGTCACTTTTTACATAACAACTTGACAACGGCGGACGTTGTTGAATCCGTAAGGAAGCTGAGGCTACTTATAATATTTGTAACTAAACTATCTCTATATATTTTTAAATCTACGACAATTTTTTGAAATTTGAATTTAAAAAAAAAAACTTAATAATTCAACCTACTGTGTTATATTGTGCAATCTATGGTAAATAATCGTAAAACAATATTAAATATTATAATATTTTATTGATATTCGGTACAATTAAATACGAAATACTTGTTATGGTATGCGCAATTTGTTGTCTAGTTATAAAAATATTGATAGGGGCCATACGCGATTTCTTCATTAACACCTTTATCTCGCGACCCTGTCTCGTTGTCAATATTATCTTCCGCTCTGCGCAATGCACAAGGCCGTGCATATTTATTAGCAATCTGCAAGAACACGTAATGGCCTTTAAAAGACATAGGTATGCATAATGTTTACTCATTAGAAACACTTTCATTGTTCCGGCGAGCGAGGCACCGCCACCGCCTCCGTGCACCGAATCGCGTAAAAGTGAAAGTAACCATGATGTGATCGGCGCACGTTCACTCGCCGGCGAAACCCATGCGCGCCCCGGAGACGATTGCTGCCGTTTCTAAAGCCTCTCCATTACTGGCCAAGTAAAAACCAGATTTGAGACATACATACAATCGACATCAAACAAAACCTGGCAAAGAGTTCTCGAATAATCTGTAGAATGCATTAATGGTATTTCGTACTTTTACAGCATTACTTGGAAAATTATCTGTAATATTGTGTAAATCTACTAGTTGTTAATTTTTGACAAAATGATCAGTACTTCAATGATGTACAATTAATAAATACAATAGCATAAAGAAAAAGAAAGGTTTGAAAATGATTTAATCGGCTTTGACTTTGGAACTTTTCATTTTTTTTCTATAGTTTCCAATTATGTTACCTAATCTAAGTTAAATCGAGTTCTTTATTGACCGAGTTAGATCTACCTGTATAGATCACAGATTGCTTTTATGTTAAAAGTAATTGAAGTATATCGACAATCAAAACGATCGCGAATCGGTACGAATTATCATTTAGCTCTGGTCCACTGTGCTCGAAACTAGGTCGCCCGCTCGCACTGAGACCATGTTTGACAGAATATTGCAATGTTGCCAGCTTCATGCCGTGTCTCGAAAGTCAAATAAAATTTCTTAAGACTCGAGTCAGTAATTTGTTTCAATTTTAGTGTTATGTAAAACATTTGAAATTCGTAAAAATTAAGAATAATATTTATTACTTTGTATGCTTCATCAAATGTTGGTATTATTTTTAAAAGATTATTGATTACTTTGTTTTTAATAATGTGTTGTTTAAACTCGACCTTAAAATATTTCACGCACAACTGAGGTCAAGGGAAACTGTCCATTGGAATCGAGACCGTAGCCCGATGTTGTTAGCCACTGGTGACGTATCATGAGTGAAACGTCGTTGTAAACCATTTATGGTATGCGCGCTCGGCTATATTATGTCAATCACGCAATCACTGGCGTAGAAGGAAGCCTGAGACGAAAACGCAGCCAATGTCAAACGAGCGAGGCCCATTGCATGCTGCACATGGCAACCGCGACCGTAATGGCAATTGTCATTGTTAACAACCGCTGTCATTTCCTTAGATGTACAGTTATATGCGCTCGTTAAAAATGCGTTTTATGGTAGTTTTAAGTTTTTCTGAAAGTATGTAGCTTTAAACTGATTTTACAAGATCTTGACTTACAAAAATAAATTTAAAGTAATTGCTAGGCATAAAAAATCCATAAAATAGTTAACATGAAGGCATATATAGGCTGAGTAGGGCAGCGGTGCACGAAGCGAAGTTTGTGACACGGAACGCATCTCGGCCCAGTTGCAGCGCTAGGTCATGACGTCACATGCACGGACCGCGCGAAGGTCGCCCATATCGATCTCACACACCCGCTCGCACCGGCCGGCTTGCATAACCTCACATGACGCATGTACAATACACTAATTGCATAATCATAGTTGCAACTATTTAATACGTACTTTAACTCGTTTCTTGTAATTCAGATTCCATCTTCCGCTTACGTAATTACGAAAGCTGTTTACTCTAGAATATTATAATAGTTAAAAAAGTAAATCGGACTAACCAGATTATATGAATGGATGTGTAGGAAGCAACATGTGTCAAATGGAAATCCATAATCGTGGCCTGTTCCTTTGGTTACGAGCGTGACTTCCTTATTCAGTTTTACGCTGCATCATACATTTTTTAATGTTAATTATTGAATGAATCTGGTGTTTTGGTCTACCTCATACTAGCAAATTAGAACCACACAAATGTATAATATTCGTGTGTATTTATGTATTTATTTTATTCGTAGGCGCCAATAGAACTGAAGAAGAGACTGGAGGAGATAAGACTGCTGGAGTCGCGTAAGTCGGCGCGGCTGGCGGACGTCGACACAGACTTCGCGCGGCTGGCTGACATGGCCGGCGACCGCCGCCGCGCCTCCGCCAACATCGAAGTGCCTACACATCACATGCAAGGGTAAGCACTTTATTTAATTTTATTTTATATTTCATTTCAATCCATTGCCAAATTAAGTAAATTCGGGGAACGTCAAATTAACTACATGGCCGCCATTACGCTATATCTTTTTTCAATTGTGATTTCAGTTATTTTGGGAAAATGCACTGCTATTATTAATGTATACGTGCAATATAAAGTGGTTTCATTTTTTTTTAAGAATTTATGAGTTTTAGCGAAAAATATTTGCTTATGGTACATTCGGCTTTCGATTGGAATCAAATGTTGTCGATGGATCTTACATGCTAATTGAAAGATCTTTGCATTTGCATTTCGAAAGGTGGAACGTTTGATATTTCCACTTCATTGAATATATAGTGTTATATACGTAAGATAAATTTAACAGCCGGCTTAACTACGAACTGGCCTACACTTATAAGCATCTCGCTTTAGGCGTGTCTCAAACCAAATACATATTATGTATGAGAGAGGCACACAGGTTATTTCGCTTTATATCAGCCCTTGTTTATTATGAAACGTTAATAAAATTTACCTAAGAGACGATAACAGCCAAATGAATAACAAATTAACACTACGATGAAACAATAACGATTTGATAGTACCAAATATAGGTCGTGTGGTGTGGCCCTAGTGTGCATCGGTCGTGTAGAGCCGGGCGCGGGCGAGCGTTGCGAAATCAGCGGCGAACGTTAGAAACTGGATGGAAGTGTTACCGCGGAGTACGGGCGTGTCCTTGTCACACTTGCCTACATTCAGCGCCCGCCGCGCCCCGCACCCCGCGCCGCGCCTCCGCGGCCCCACAGGCCCCCGCCACACACTCACAATGCAATGCAATACCACAACGATTAGAAAATTCCAATACATACTATTTGATACTATCATTTATATTACAAGTATATTATCATCTGCGCGTATATCTCATAGACAACAGTGTACAAAAGTTTACTTTCTTAATGTATACTCTGTTATACCATTGTAACCGGAACAAACAGCATTGGCTGTAGGTAGCGACGTGCCTCTACCCGCCGTCGTCGTCGTCTCTGAGGTTTCACTTTTAATCGTGACGGTGGTGAGAGGTGAGACCTCTACTTCTCGGTCCGAATTTCACAACCGTTGCCGAAACGCACGCCCCCTACTACACAAAGCATCGATATAGTCATCTATACACGTAATTATCTTTAGCACAGGCAGATTCAACAGTATCAGACTGTAAAAATCATACATATCCGGTTCCATACAACTTCATATTCATTATAGTGTAAACACACAAGGAAGAATAAATTAAAGGTTGTTATATTATAATATATGTTTATTAAATCGACCAATGTTGTAACGAGCTTGCAATAAACCTGTTCCTATAAAGCGCTCAGAATGTAAGATACCTATTAGTCGCTTTGAAGTTGAACCTTTTGCTAGTGGCGAAGAATTTCGAAATACTATCTATTCCATTATAGTTAAACTTTTTTAAATCTAATACCGCTCCATCACAACCATGTGTGAATCACTCTTGAGCTGTCTTGAGTTGAGTGGATATAAAGGGAACTTTGCCTGCAATAGGCAGTGTCAACCCCCCCTACTAGGTTTTGTATACTTCAAAAACGAGGTAAAGCAGGCGCGCAACTTGGTTCCAACGTTGCTTCTCGATACTTATTTTAGTTGCATTAATTCTAGCTTGATTTATTTAATAATACCTAATAATATATGGTCAATGCGTGGGCGAAAGAAGCCAGAGCGAAAAGTTACCCGTGCGACATGACAGCAGCTTGCATAGAAACTTGCTGTCCAATAGTTAATAATTATAATGGGCTAGTGATTTGGTCAACAGGCACTGTAGCTAATGTGTGCCCTTATAGCGTAGTTACACTAATTAGCTATTCGATTTATAGCTAAATTTAGACTCGATTTCCAATGTGAAGCACCAGCGTTAGCCGCTACTTTCGATGCAATTCAAAAGAATTCGTGATTGGATCGGAATTTTGCAATCCCGCCGAACTTCGGTAAAGTGAAAGCTCACAATGAAGTCTTAGTTTTTTTCTCAACACTATCGACATTGTCGACAATAGATATAATAACGATAAATTGAATGTACAAAGTATTATTGTTCGTAGAATTGTGAGGCTATTGTTAAGATCAGAATTGCTAAAATTTGTAATAAAAATTATATCCAACTTTTAAGGATCATATTTAATCCGTTAAAGTTTTGACATGTCAATATGTATCCTTAAGTAAATTTATGAAGAATTTAAATAATTCACTCGATAAATCTTGTGTGCTCTTAACTATTAATTGGTGGGCTTAGCTTCCCACTAAATATCCCCATTTAACAATATATGATGACGTTGGCACGCTTAAAACACGAATCAACGAAATTCAAAGATGGCGTCGCGTTTGCCTGGTACTTGGCGCGGCCGCCATGACACACTGACCTACTTTAAAAATGGAACGACACACTAGAAAAGTGCCGCATACAACGATGTCTGTGAATACCGTATCGAAAATACAAATTATATCATCTTATTATCTTGATACATTATTAGGTGTTTGTAAGAAATAGTTGACAAGTCCTTTAATGATGGAAATTAATTCAATCATTGTTTCAAATCTGGTATATTGCTGCGACGTCCTCGCACAGGTAGCTCAGTGGGCCAGTAGGACGGTACTACAGCCCGCATTTTGATGTCGCAACACTGCAACTCTGTAACTGTTTATCGTTTCGTCGTTCTCTGTTTGGATCCTACTGGGACTGTAATATATTGTAATATTATTGAAAATATACACCTCATTGAATTGATTGGGACAAGTTGCGCCTAAATAGCGTGCCGTATATTAAATAGACATTTCAGTGTCATGGGCAAAGAGTACGTAGACTTATTGAGGACAGAAAATTAGTATTGCATTCTTGAGCAACACACTTCAACTCATATGTGATTAAACATTCATGTTGATGTTAACTCTGTTATAGTTTGATATGAAGGTGAGTTACATTAAATATTTCGCGTGCGTTTGCGCAACGTACAAAGAGAATGCGGGGCAACGGTTGTTGGTAGGAGGGGAGAGGGGCACTTTCTCGTCAAGTACACGTTTGCTTTCGTCGGTGTGCGACATCAGAAGGCCCGTTATCTCATTTGGCAGGTGCCGGTATGCAGGCTTCGTTTAGAGAAAGTGTTACAAAAATGAACGTCTTTAATGTTATGCAAAGATGCCGTAGTAAATTACGTTGCCATAATAAGCTATACACAATGCATATATTTTCTTATACACAAATCTAAATAAATTAGTTTTATATGGTTAGGTCATTAGCTAGTTATTACTCACCCGGATTTTCAGCGATGCTGACTTTCAATCGACCTACCGACAGGTTATTCCACCGATCAAAGGAACAAAAAATCGTCGGTTCAAATTGGCGTATTACGTTGTTATACATTGGGTTAAGAGAACCATTTATCAATTGTATTTTTTACGCTTTTTTTAACAAAATTTTATGTTATTAATTTTTTTCGCGTGAAATATCTTCCAACATTATTTTGTAGTAATTAAGTGAATTCTTTTATATCCACTTCGTAGATTCACGTAACATAGATTGTGCATAAAATGTCCCTACATGAAATGCATAATAAATAATGTACAACATAAAGTTGCGATTATAGACCGATTACTATGAGACGTGTATAGTCGCGGCGTCATTGTGCTGTGACATGTACTAATTCTCTAGCACTAAAATGCCGCAGGAAGGTCACGTCGTTTTGTCCGGACGTCATTTACATTTGTATCCTTCAATACAATATCATTTTTCAAACGAATACAACAATAACCTTGACTTTCCTACCTACATTTTGAACTCTGCTCAAATATACTACATGTAAATAATCAAGTCTTACTTATATTATACGAATGTTTAGATGCATGCATGGATGGATGGATATTTGTTTTAAGGATGTCAAGAAAATTTGGCATATATGTAGAAAATAGTTTGAAAGAACATATAGGTTAATAATTGTTTTTTTTTAAGCCGGGCAATAGAGTCGCGGTCGACCTTTAGTTATGAAATACATTTTAGAATTCAAAAACTGTGTCCAATTAAAACAAGCCATAGTGACGTTAGAAATTTATCAAGTAATTTAGTAATTTCGTGCAATTAATGTCTCAAGATTTGCAAAACCAAGTTATATGTAAGTTATAATAAAACGATGACACATAGGCCTACGTCATTGCCTGAAAATGAATCGTCGATTGTTGTTGTCACGCCGTACTCGTTTCGTGAATTGTTTGACTATTTGATTGTTTCCTGTGAAGAGTTAAGTTAAAGTACAAACTTTAAAAAAGATCATTAGTCCGCATATTTTCCTTTACGATGTATTAGCCCCTCAATTCATTTTGAATAAGCATAAAATAAATTTTCGTCTAGTTTAAAGAGCAATTCCATGTAAATAACCTGAATAATTTCTATAAAATTATTTTTATAAAGTCTGTCACAAAAGAAAAATACTGGCACGTAATTAATTACCACTTTCGTTTAAAATAAACCTTTTAAAAAGAAATAGCCCATAAATAGCACGTATGTTGTTAAGATTAAGAAACTTAAAAGTTCATTAAACGGTGTGCTTAAAATATACTTTATTTTTCTTAACATGACTAATAACTAAAATATAAACAAAATTTAAATTGCAATAAACATTTTATTATCTATAACATGCTTACATTATATGTTTTAATATTTTTACAAACATGCGCATATCATATCTACTAAATTCGCTAGCATTGGCATAAATAAATAATTTGGTGGTCTAAAAAAATTAAATTATGTATTAAAATTTACCAGTTAATCACTAAATAAAAACATGGTATAATTCGTTAAAGTAGCGAAATACGTAATTAAAATAAAATTTATATTCCAAAAATGTTTGAAACAAAGAGTAAAAAATGTAACACTGTTATTGACCAAAAAGTGATATTCAGAACATGCTAATTGGTGTTAAAGACAGTACAATATTGTGGCGCGCAAAATTAGTTGGCAAATTGACGTGGCAATGGCGAGCGGTAAAAAGGCGCGAAGTCTCGATGACCTCAGCGTTGCGGTGCGGCGAAGGCGAGCGGCCGCCGCTCTAGCCCAATCGCACCTTTTTGTACAGCGCCGTGTAAAAAATACATCCCGACCTACATCAACCGTAACTCCAATGTGTCTACGAATTGCTGAAACATGGCATTATAATTAATCTATGAACGTTATTTCAATCAACAATATAACATCTTTTTCGTTATAATCAAAATAATAATGGCTGCGTATCGATAATTATCCCTACATTTATTCAAATGTCCTTTATAAAGATTTTATCGACGATTTTCATTTGATTGTAACCGATACATTTGCCGATTGATTCATGAAACAGCGCAAGTCACCTTAAGTTGTAACTTATATTCGGTTTGTTCCACCTTTACCACCTGGCCATTGTACAGATTGTAAAATGTATAAAAACATGAATCGTATCCAAAAACATTCAATTATAAGTAGAGCAAAAAATGAAACAAAGAAATGTACGGATCATTCACTCACAGATGAATGCGTCAACGGATGTCGGACGTAAAAGAAGAATATTTATCGTCGACAGCTCTAAACAATGTAGTCGTCGGAATTTGAACGGCAACAAGATGCAAGGTCGTTCTCAATGTTACACCGTACTACGGACTTCGTGAACGTGCGATGTTCGCCAGCTGAACTAATGTATCAATAATTTATTATTGATAGCGGACATTCTTTCGGAAATCCAGATGTTACGTAGTTATGAATCAGATCGAAGAATCTCGCCGACGAGGAGAAAATCGCCAAGAATGTACGCATCCGAGAATATCCACCAGACGCTATACGTAACGTGATACAATATTACGTCAACATATTAAAATAAAATGATACTACCCTAAAATTATAAGCACGTGTCATAAATTCAAATGCATTTTCATAACAGTTATCAATCACGGAAAAGCGGGACAACTAATTGGCTACAAATGGGACTGATAATCAGAAATACAACAACAGCTTTTGGATCTTAATCTTTAACATAAGCGAAAATAAACGGAAACTTAAGAAACCAGTAGTAGTAACCAGGTAGTATCAAGCATCACTTCAGAATTCTTGTTTATGTTTATACACCGTAATATGTAAAACAACGCAAAACAACTACAAAAGACAATGCACAGTGCAGGCACGCAGATAACAAAATGTTTGTCAGTGTCACACGTCACACCGCATAAAAGGTAGATAAACTTCGATAGTTGATTAACCTTGCACTGCCTTTCTATTTGAGTGGAGTTCGGCACAATATTGTGCCGATGGTAATGACCTGCAATCATGTGTTCCAGGTCTAAGATCGAGCCCGCGTGCTCTAAGGTCGCCGGAGCGTGCGGGGTGAACACACCTTGTCTCTGGCCGCTGGGTTTCGTTCGACGATCGCTATAGGCTGCTTTTTTATCTTCAACGGCGCAATTATACCCGTTTACCTTTATAAAAACGTTCGTATTAAACACTTTTGTTTTTAAACAGGTTTGACAACTTCGCGTTATACTTCGCCGGTAAAGGGAAATTCAACTGTTCGCCGATACAAAGTTCAGACAACTTTTAATAAATAAAATCTATTTTATTGTTTGAAAAAAGAACATTTAACACAAGGCATATAGAAATTGAATAGCACTGTTTATAATTATACCTCAGCCTCAGGTACTTTATGAATTCAGAACAGTGTTTAAACTAAATAAAATCTCAGGCACCAGGTATTCATAGTATACTAACAAATCAAATGAAAAAACAAATATTATTTTAATTTCATTGTTAGAATATGATAATAGAATTTTTATTTAAATAGTCGAAATTGATAAGTTTGAAACGGATCGAAGGCAGTAGATCGACCGCCCGGGGCCCGGACGAGTCAATGAACGAACGTTGACGCGTCGGCCTTTGCCACCGAGGACGTCTACGATTAACCTCTCGGTCCTTCACACAGCCTTACCAAATTTGTTCTTCTACTCATTTACATATACCAACAATATTTTTACTTAAACATATTAAAATAAAATTAATCAAATTGGTTGTTTGGAATTTTGTCCGCGAAAAAGTACTATACACACAACTTTATGTTTGAAAAGATTTTATCAAAACTCTTATTGTATTCATTTCTGACATCTTGCACTTCGGTTACGGAAACCCTGAATTGTGCTTGCCTTTATTTCTATGAATTCTAGTTGTCATTCGTAGAATATTGCTAGTCAAAGGAGATGTTTAATTTCTCAATGTCGTCGTCTCATATTACGTAGAACGTTTAGATGGGTTCGTTTCTAAATATAGGGATCTCGTATTCAATTACACAGTGACACAGTTTTCCTTTTCTTTCTCTACTAATGAACTACATATTATGTTGCTATAAATAGATTATTGACTATGTAACACTGTTTCTGTATTAATATAACCTACCTCTAATTTAACAGTAATGTAATCAAAAAAATGTGGTTAAAAGTGTCAGTAATATTGTATTACAACCTAATATTTAATTCGTATTTAAAGTTCACAAAATATTAGCTACTATTCGTTAGAGTGGTGACCCAATTATTATATCTTTTAATATCCAACAAAAAAAAACATTTCGAGGTGTTCCACGCTTGTGACAGTGTTGCCCTCGTCACGAAATCTATTTGCATACACACGAGTTCGCTGCTCGCTTTTCAATAGGCCTGCGTCACATTTAAATAACGTAATGCGTATAAATACACGAATTATAAATTACTAGCTGGCGCCCGCGACTACGTCCGCGCGGTATTACAAAAAAAAACATAAATAGTTGCCAATGTGTTCTTCCATAGTACCGTTGAGTCTTTCTGAAGATAACTTCAAACAAACATCCATCCATCCATCTAAACATTCGCATTTATAATATTAGTAAGATGTGATATTAATAAATGTGAATGTTGCGGTGATACATACTATACAAACATACTTTGAAAAAGAGTAACAATATTTTTATAAAACAACAATGACACAATACAAGTACATATTTAAAAAGAGTTAAAACATTTCTGTTTAACAAAATGCATTTCTAAATTAACATATAACAGTCCAATTTAAAATTACGACTTCCTTGTAATCCGCGACCCGTGGGTTACAACTACAGTGATTGAATCCATGTTAACTGTGTGCAAGAAAATGTAAAATGAGAGTTAATTTATTTATGTAAGTTTAAATAAAGGTTAAAAAGGCTTGCTCGCAAATCTTATTATCCGAAAGTGAAGCCGAAAGATGAACGGCCTCGGGGTCGCAGGACGAGTCGACCGCCGATGGGTCAGACGCCTGGGGATCACAGACCGATCTTACACAATTAATATACCTGAATCTGAAGCTACCACATTTATCTTGCCTTCATAACATAAATTAGCCTTAATATAAGACTTATATAATGCTATTATATCGTTTATATTGAAAGGAAATCGGAGAGTTATGATGACTCTACTCCTATATTTTTTATACTTGGCGATAAATTGACTATGATTCCTCGATATATATCTAAAATAAATAAATTAATTAATAGTCTGTAACTAAAAAGTAAAAATCAATTAATTACATAATGATCCTGTGTTGCTTTGTTTATTTAATAGTCAAAGAGAACGTATTAGTTAAATGGTGTATTTGATCTCACTTTCATCCATACGATTTTTATTTTCGGGCTAGTAATTAATTTGTAATTATTTCTTATTGTACTGAATATCGGTAAACAATTGTCATCTCAATATTGTTTTAAAATTGTGAAATAATTCACATAATGTGATTATTAACTTATAAGTGTGTTTTTCTTTGCATACAGATCTCGTAAACGGGGTCCGAGCAGTTCATGCGACCAGGGCTACGGCGAGCGCGATGACCAAATGAACGAGTGCAATGCAGCCCTTGTTCTCATGTCTCTCAGCTGTTCACCCAACTCACCACGACCCAGTAAGTTAACATAAGCTCTTGATATACATTTAACAGTGTAACGATGACTGCATTCAGCTGCAAATATGGCATCTAAAGGGTTAATATGGCACATTTTTTTTCAAAAAAGTTTATTGCACACGTTAAAAGGACTTGGTTAGCACATCTGTATTTTAGTGCTTTAATGATTTTCACTATGATTGATCTTTAAACCTTTGTCATTACGAATCAAAGATTTGTTTGATTTTGAAAAAAATATGGCTTTATTTAATATTAGGTTAATTATGCATTAGCATTGATGTATATGTAGTGTACATGAGAAAAATTACGATTAATAAAGACTATTCAAGTCATAATTTTGTATGTACAATTTTAATTGCCCATTTCAAGGATATATTAAAAAAACTGATGTTTATTCAATGCTTTAAACGATATCATTATCTGTACTAAGACACGCATCTGCACGCAATACGACTACGTATGTGTAGATACGTATATAATGTTGGTGTTACATAAAGACGGACAATCAAAAAGATGATGCGCTGAGAACGGACATAGTTACATAATAATTACTACGTTACGATAACATTCAATTTTAAAGATAATTAGTAAGATTTTTATACATTATTCTATTACACATTTATAGTCATTGTTTTTAGAAAATTAGTGTAAATGTTTAATGGCACAGATGTGGTTAGGTTTTTGTGTAAAATCTACGAAACGTTGATAACGTCTAGACAGCAGTCTAGACAGCGTCTAGACAGGTATTCGGTGTAACTTCGCTCTCATATTATGAGCTCCGACCAAATGCTATCCAATTTGGGTACAGCAGCACTGTCGACTGACGATGGAATGTTGCTGTCATTGTTATTTAATTTACTTTAACAGTTTCACTCGAAGACACTCTAACATTGGTGTTACGCAAGAGCATTAGCTATCAAGTCGTACATAAAATTACAGTATAATCACGAAAAAATAATTAAAAATGTTTTAACTTTCTCCTCATTTTTAATTTATTTATTTTCAAGTTCCCAAATGCTTTACGATTAAAATTTACTACAACTAAATATATTACAAATGAATGTAGCATCATAATTATTTTATCGGGACTATCTTTCAATAGAATATGCAGCTATAAAATATATTACTCAATACCAACCACGCCTCTAACAACGTCACTAATCGTAAAATGTTATTCATCTTCGCCGGTAGAGCGCTGGCGCGGACGCATACATAGCGAGAAAATAGCTGTTCTTCGGAGTGAAAGTGGCCGACCATAGATCCGTTATACAATTTATTTGTGCAGGCATATTGAGTTTGGAACGAAATTCCATAAATCGTTTAAAAAAACTTATTCTGCTTTATGAGAAAAGGTAATATGTATATAATCGGTCCCTTATTACGTTTCATACGTTTATAAAATACAGTTCAATTATTAAACTAAGAGCAAAACTATGTTCAATCTGTAAATGTAACCCAATTCTTATCGACTTCATTTTGATTTTATCCAATACGGTAATTACATAATTACAAGTAAAGACATTTTAAAATGTCAGTACTTCTACGAAAAACTTAATAAATCAGTGCCCTAGATATTATTTTAAGAGATAAATAATTAACGCTATAAATTTAGAGTCACAAGATATGAGAAACGATGAAAATAAAAGCTACGAAGACTACATATAAAAAGGTAAAAAACGAAAACAAGAATTTGTAATTGGAGGGTCTGAGACTTAAATTTGCGGTTGTTGAGTTTGATTGCTACAAAAGTTTGATTTGTAGCTGGGTACATTACAGATAGTAATTATTTCAAACTCGCTCTTACACAAAATGTATTCTTTGTGGTTTCTTTAAATAAATATATTTGATATAAAATGTACCTCATGTTTTTTTCTTGTACCTCTAAAAATATGTATTGTAAACTTTCGGATAATCCGTTTATTCGTTAAAGTATGAGAGAGTTACAAACATATTAAAAACAATCTTATACAACGCCATCAATATTGGTCTTATCATCATTATTGTTTCAGGTGCGTGGGGCGGGCGATCGTCAGTATCTCCTGGTGCCAGCAGCAGCTCAGGGTCTTCGTGGCGCAGCGGGACCCCCTCACCTCCGCCTGTCTCCTCCTCATTCAGTGATGAAGGCATCGCCATGGACTACGAGGAGTTACATCCTCGCAAGAAAAGGGTAAGTCTTTTATAATTTACTTTAAAAAAACGCGTAGGCAGTGTAAAGAAGAATAGTTTGTGGAAATCATCGAAAACTATTGAAAGTAAAATATAAGGAGAGAAAATATAGGAGCCTAATAGTGACATTTTTGCGACATGTAATGTAAAAGTAAGTAAATGTAGTAACAGATTTCTAGAATAGGGTTTATATTCTTAAGAAAAAAGACAATGCGGCAGGTCATGCACGTAAATTAAATTAACCTTCAAAGGCACTACTAGCTCAAATATCAATTTGGTCACAGTTGCAAATTTAATAGAACAGTATTGGAGTGTGTGTACACAACTCTGTATGGAAGTGTGCTTGTTGCTAATTTGTCTAACATGATTAAAGATTTTCACGCTTGCATTTTAAAATAAATCAAAAATTTTGCAGTCATTTATAACACTGATTTGAACATTCAACAAGCAAATATGATACTCGTGTTACGTAACGAAAACTTAGATCGTGAGTCCTTACTTACGATACCTAATCATTTGTTGAACGTCTGAATAACAAACACTTGGTTTCGAAGGCCTTGCTTGTTGTAATCTGCTTACTTTGCAGATTAAGCAACACTTCTGTATATTGCTTTAGCCACATCTATATACGTAAAATTTTGTTCTCACTCCAAAAAACATCATAGTCCATAGACAATAAATAAATTACAAACATATAATTTTTGGTGACATTTGTATTCGTCTCTGGCATCCCTTTTAAGCATCTAATATAACAGAATGTTGTTGGGAACTTTTACAACAGTTTTTTTTAATGTTTTCGTGAAAATTTTATAGCCTGTCTTCACAAATATTACATAGGCGTGACCATACACCGTGTACGTACCAGAAGCGGCTCCAATTAGACCGTAACACGATTCGTGCTCGCTTTCCGATTATAGAGTTTCTGTAAAATGAGCGTTAAAATGAATTATTTATAACTGGTGTAAGTAAACGATGTGGCGTCCCGGCTTACGATCCTATACTCTGCATGACCATTCGTACGAATTTAAATAAGTTTTTAATATCAACTTTGTTAACCAATAATTGCGATTGCAAATCTCTGTCGATCAATCTCAATCCAACTCCTTGTCTCATGTCTTCTAAATCGCGAAGTTATTTTCGCAATAATGCTCGATTTATACTTTATTAAGTAGTAAACGAAAACAAAGATGAGTAATTTAAACCAATGCTTTTATGTTAGAGTAAATAACATATCATATTGTATGATTAATGTAATTGTTTACTGCACATGCATCAATCGTATCTTATAAGACCGGCCGGCATACTTCTCGTGTACAATCAGAAATGCTTCATAATGATTAATATATTGAGTCAGAGCCCGGCTGTACCATTGTGCACCATTGTGCTCCATCTGACATTTAGTAAATCCTGTTGTGTCATGTCTCTAAGTAACTCTATTCTACAGTCGCTAAGTTACGTTGCAGCAAGCTGGGCCGCCACTTTCACCACCTAACCACCTGTTCTCGCTCGCTGAAGGCCATTATATCACAACTGGATACCAATGTATTGCAATTCCTGTTCCTTGTTTCGCAAATATAGCTAGATATTGATGCGATTTATGAATACGTTTATGTCGTTGCAATTTACATTTGTATATTTTATTGGGAAAATATGTGTTTGCGTAACACATTTTTATTCTGAATAGTAATACAGCACGCAAAAGGGTAGAAATAGTCCACAAAGTGCATCTTTTTCCAAAACAATGAAACTTCGTCATCATCACTATCCAACCAGACAAAGAATAAAATAGTCTTATAAATTTACTTAAGCAGTACTAAACATAAGTCTTGTGTGAACTTTTCATACGAGTCGTCGATATCTACCTCTTAACCTAGAGGTACAACACAACTAGGTTATCGTGTAGAGACTGCTTTATATAATTTCCAAGCGGAAAATGTATTATTGATTATTGCACTGATTTACAAACACGTGTAGCAGCAGTAGGCAGGAGGCAGTAGTTCAGTGTGTCGCGCAATGTCAAGGCGCACTACGCACGCCGAGTTCGCTTTTATGCAATTCTATTGTACAATTATTCTCATTAATATATTATATGTAATACGACACGCACATACTATCGCTTTGTGTATTTAAACATGATCCATAAACAAGTCTTATCAGTCGGAGTAAACACGATGACAGCTATCAAAGCTTTTGCCCTTATTATGTAAAGATCTAATAATAAGAAATAATGTAAAATCTACACTACTACGTTATTTACTATCTAGAGCCACTGTTCATTTGTCTTAAGTACGGTTAAATTTTATTAATATAATTTTAATTGGCATTGTGGCAATTGATGGGGGAGGCCTACGTTCAGCAGTGAACGAATTTAGGCTGAATATGATGATGATGAATACAGTTTCAGTATTTGTTTTTTCAATAGTAGTTGTTACTATGTAAATTATAAATTGTTTTCATCAACGAATTTCTTTTAATTAAAAATACCACAATTTTTTTTCTTACGTGTTTGTTTTTACGATGACGTGTTTCAATTTTCTCGTGTCTGTAGTTAGGGAACATATCCATATTACGTGATTTTTTTTAAACTTTTTTTAAGACTGCACGCATACTTAAATTACTGGTAAATGTGAAAAATGTATTATGGAATAGAACAACTAATGACTACGTAACAAAAACCTGAGGCACCCTGCCGCTCCTGTGACTGACCGTAGTATTTTAAAGACCCCCCCCCCCCGCTAAACGGGTTACATAAGTATGGGTATGTTCCCTTAGGTAATCGTATTGTGAACCTAACTGTGCGGTTTGCGCGCTCTACACGTGAAACAATAAAATCGTAATATGTGTAACCTTGACGGAATGAAGTCAGATCTCAAATAAGTTTTTGTTCAACAAGAACAAAAGATTAAAAAAAAACAATAAGTACGAAAAAGCTTTGTAAAGTAGATGTAATAATTTGAATTTAGGTTAAAAGGTTATAGACGGTTACAAATAGGTGTTTTTAATAGAGAACCTCTGTTCATTTGTTACGTTGTAGTAGATTTCACACTGTTTCTTTGTGTCGGTTGAAACAAAACCGTGTGTAGATTGTGCTGCGAGTTGCTACGAGTTGCAACACGGAGACGATTTGTATTCACGGTCAATAGAACAATAAATTATTATAGACGTACTAACGTTGTTATATTGCGCGCTGTTTTTGTTTGAACACAGATTATTCTATTTATTTTAACTATACGTAAGAAAAGTCTTTGACAACCTTCTTGCAGCATACATTTGTTAAATTAAAATCAGTAAATAGTTTAAAATAGTTTGTTCAATTTAATAATTCTTCATTTGTATTGGTCTTTAAAAATTTTAATGTAAAAACTTGTGTGAATTACAAAACTTTAAAGCTTTTTTTTTACATAATAGATGTTAATTTACAATTCTAAAGTATTAATATGTTAGAGGAAATCCGTATTTTACAAAACTAAACAAAAAAATTAACTTGAAATCCTCCAAAAATTTTAATTACATTATTTACGCAGTATTTGCCTACTTGTTTTGTAAATTAAATGTATGAGTTAAAGTTTGTGCAAAGATATTTAGTAATTACGCTGTAACTATAAATAAAGATATTTGTCACTGACGAGCCCTAAGTAGTTACAGTCAACAGTAATGTTTGAGATCTATCATAGGGCTGTCAAAATACCATAAGGAGCATAGCGAAATAAAGAAAAATTGACTTTAAATTAGTTTTTTTTTGGTGCTTTTTCAGACAATAAATTTCAGAAAATTGCATGGGGAGTTGTAGGGAATTAGAGATCATGGCGGAAATAAGAGTCCTTGCAAATATAAGAAGGACATTGACGCAAAACGGTGTGGAAACGAAGAAAAGAATTTAAAACTCGATATCACGAAATGTTGATTAAAAATTTTATGACTGACTGTTTTAAAATTTTATTACTTTCACTTATTACGGAATTCTTTATCCTTATTAACTGAATATCAGGCACGTTATATTGTAAAAAGTATAACAAGTATTACAATGACCAATTTGTGACCAGAGAAGGTCCCCCAACATGACCAACTATCGGAGTAAACATGTACCAACCAAAGTGTACACGCGTTTGATAATCATCTCATTGCCGGACTCCAGTCGTCGGTTACTAAGTGTAGATTTCTCGTACTAGATCTACACTAAACGTTACACTTAATGACCACTTAAAGTTTGAGGAGTAAGTAAGAATAATTAATAAAGAAGAATAAACAGCAGTGATTCATGTTTTGTGATTTGGTGATGGTAACCCTAGCGTCGTATCGGGAGCGGTGGTAGCGAGCATTGGCGAGGTATTGGCACAGAAGACGTCCCGGGCCCACGCTACCCGCTAACCTTGCGGCAGTTGGCGGCCGACGCGGCGTGGACGTGGGCGGACCAGCCTCGTGTCTTTCTTACCTACTGTGCTTACGTAATAATAAACAAACTGTACCACTTCACTGTCAGCAGCTACCGTTTGTTAAATTATCATAGTCATGCTAGTACCATTTTGTTTTGGCTTACATATAAAGGATAAAAAACGTTCATTAAAATAACATATGTAAAAGAGTATATGACCTTAACTTAATGTGACATTGGTTGATGTACATAGCTTTATTACTTTTAACGACCGTTCTTTGGTTAACAACTAGTGAAAATCATCAACAGAAATCATCAAGAAAATGTTGGTTTGTCAACAATAAAATGTTAAACGATTAACATAAACAAATGTGATGTAACTTCTCTTACCAAATTCGTGGCACACGCGGGCGACATATGCCGTTCATTAATTTAAAAAGACTACGAATACGTTTATTTACTACGCTACGGCCTCATTTCAAACTGTTTAAACATACATCTATGACGCACGCACTTTGTTTGGTCACAATTTTTATGAGAATTAACTTTGAACTAACTAAAAAACGAATGATATTTAATATAACTGTAAATAAAATTAAAAAGTAAAAGAAGATAACAGACGATAGCAT